TTCTAACGAATAACGATGTATAACTGAAGACTGTGCACTGTGTAGAAGGTGATGGTGATGTTTTACCCCGCAAGTGATCCAGGTACCAGCCCTGGAGAGGCCCTGGAGAGGCCCCAGTTGGAGATATATGACATACTGTTTGTCACCGGCTCTTCTATCACCGGCCCGGTGACATTCGCAAACATCGCATCAAATGGCAATTGGTCTTGGCCAAACGTGTCAAACTCGTCAAACTATCTCCCAGTGGCGAAAATCCCCCGGACCGAGACAGCCACCAGTGGATCTAAATGAGTAGGGTACAACATAAGTCGATCACGATGCGATCTGGGGGGTACGCCATCCGGGCTGGAACATTGAGAATTGAGGCATTTAGCAAAAACACCGAAGTGGTTCTCCATGACACATTGCATTCCACGATGTTCGATAGAGACCGCATCATTCCAAGGTCCTTCCTGTATACATCGACATCTCAGGTGACTTTTTTTTTCTTTTCAGGTTCAAGCCTCTTGCAGGTCACCCGCTCACCTCTCTTTTGCCCCTGTTCCTGTAAACTGCCTAGGTAGTTCGTCTGAGCCACGTTCCAGGCTTTTGAGGTAATTTTTTTCCCTCCTATCGGCCCGCATGACGCAGCGGGATTTTTCTATCGGCTTGAGCTCGGAAGGAGGGGCGATGAGCTCCAATCAGCGTACAATGTATCGCCGCTTCTTAGTCAAAAGTGGACGGAGAATGATCGTTTTGGGGTGGAACAAGTGGAACTGGCGGATCGCAATGGGCTTCGAGACCTCTCTATACGGTAGAACCTCCCGCCTACCATCGGCTATAACTGGTCAAGAGGGTTGCGGGACATACAATAATAATGTAATAATAATCGAAAATAATCGAAAATAAATTCAAGTTGGTATTAATAGAGAATTAATAGAGAATTAATAGAGATAATAGGAATTAAAGATAAATTACTATTAAAAGTCCTCAAGTAAAAAAACAATCAAGTTTCTGTATAAAAGGACTAGGGTTCCCCGGATTTTCTGGTTCCTCTAAATCCAAAAACCCATCTTTCCCTTTTCTCATCACCTTCAGTCCATGGCGACCATCGGTGATCATTATATTTGCCAGTAAGTTTCTTCTTCTTCTTTCTTGTCTCTCCTTGCTTGTTATCTCAACTTGTCTGGTTGAGATAAGAACATTCTTTGTGTCGCCTTATCTCATCTCCACACACGTGCCGACTCGATGATTCATCTCAACTAATTGACTTATTATAGATTCTTTCATATTCTCGCTCTTACGTGTTAAGAGATTTTCCTCACATACTACATCATGTCGTCTCCCGCATCTACCCCACTGTCGGAGACTGTCAATAGCAATGGCGCGAGCTTGCCTTCTCGTCCTCGCCAGGATGGGAGCTCCGGCTCCGGCACCCCCATCGGTTTCCAACGCTTTCCCCCCACAACAAGCACTTAGATCATGTCGTTGGAGGTGCTTTGCGACAACCGTCCCCGCAGCCCACTCACTTGGGCATTCCTGGTACCCCGCACCGTGTGCTCTCCGAGGAGGACCCGGGCTATATCGCGGCTACCTTCGAGGGCAAGCAGAAGCAGATGGAGCAGGGTCAGTGGAATTGACTGATAATATCGAGATGATACAATTGGCTAATTCCCAGCAGTTATGGACATATTGGAGGAGAAGGGCTTCTTCCCTAGTGACTTTGTCATCTCCGAAACCACCTGGTTCTATAACAAGCTTGGCATCGATGATACGTATTTCCAGACCGAGTCTGTGGATGCTATTGTAACCCAGATCCTATCCCTCTACGCCGCCAAAGTCGCCGCCTATGCCCGCGATGATAAACAGTTGGAGATTCGTCTGGACAAAGAGGCCGAGGACCATGCTGTTTACATCGATACCAGCAGGCCCGGTACTGTATCTGTCGATGGTCCACGCTACGAGCAGCGCATCGACGAGAAGTACGTCAACCACTCCAAGGGTGCCAACAGCTACCGTGTGGAGACTTTCCGCTCGCCTAGCACTCTGCCAGGCGACAACGGCCAGCAGCTCCGCTGCTACTTCGTGTACAAGTGCCTGTTTGCCAACCCCAACCCCTCACCGAATGAGACCAACATCGATATCATTGGCGAGAAGCGCTTCCTGCAGAAGGCCACCCCCAACACCAAGGCGATTTACCAGGAAATCATCGCCACAGCCGTTGGCCGCTCCGGTCCCGTCATTGAGATGTTCGAGATCGAGGGTAGCCGGGAAAAGCGTCTGGTGATTGCGTACCGCCAGGGATCCGCTATGGGCTTATTCAGTGCCCTGTCAGATTTGTACCACTACTACCGCTTGACCAGCTCGCGCAAGTACCTGGAGAATTTCTCCAACGGAATCACTGTGATTTCGCTCTACCTGCGTCCCTCAGACAACTCCGAGATCTCAGCCAAGTTCCCTCCCATTGAGGCTGCTATCCACCAGATCATGAAGGAGGTCTCCCTCTTATACTGTATCCCTCAGAACCGCTTCCAGGGCCACTTCGCCACTGGTCGTCTGAGTTTGCAGGAGACAATCTACGCCCACTGCGCCTGGGTGTTCGTACAACAGTTCCTTAACCGTCTGGGCTCAGAGTACACTTCGTTGGCTGCTCTTTTGGACAGCAACAACAGTGTGCACGCAGAGTTGCTCTCAAAGATCAAGAAGCGTCTGCGTACGGAGACTTTCACTGCTGATTACATCTTTGAGATTATCAACAAATACCCCGAGCTTATCCACAAGCTCTACCTTGACTTCGCCAACACCCACTACGTTCAGACCCAGGAATCTGGTGATGACTTCCTCCCTACTCTCAGTTACCTGCGTCTGCAGGTCGACGAGGTCCTCGATGGCACCAAGCTGAAGCAGCTCATCCGTGGTACCGCCCTCAACGAGCACGACGAGATGGTTATGACCTCCTTCCGCGTGTTCAACGCCTCCATCCTCAAGACCAATTTCTTCACCCCGACCAAGGTGGCTCTCAGCTTCCGCTTGAAGCCGGACTTCTTGCTTGAGCACGAATACCCCCAGCCTCTCTACGGCATGTTCCTGGTCATTAGCTCCGAGTTCCGTGGTTTCCACCTGCGGTTCCGCGACATTGCCCGTGGCGGTATCCGTATCGTCAAGAGTCGAAACGGCGAAGCATACAACATCAACGCTCGCTCGTTGTTCGATGAAAACTACAACTTGGCCAATACCCAACAGCGCAAGAACAAGGATATCCCCGAAGGCGGTGCCAAGGGTGTCATCCTCTTGGATGCCGACCACCAGGACAAGGCGCGGGTCGCCTTCGAGAAGTACATTGACAGTATTCTCGATCTGCTCCTGCCCCCCGTCAGCCCCGGTATCAAGGATCCGATCGTTGACCTGCACGGCAAGGACGAGATTCTCTTCATGGGCCCCGACGAGAACACCGCTGAGCTCGTCAACTGGGCCACCGAGCACGCTCGCGGCCGTGGAGCTCCCTGGTGGAAGTCGTTCTTCACTGGAAAAAGCCCCAAGCTGGGTGGTATTCCCCACGACGCTTACGGCATGACTACCCTCTCGGTCCGCCAGTACGTGCTCGGAATTCAGCGCAAGCTGAAAATCGACCCCTCCACACAGCTCAAGCTGCAGACCGGTGGCCCCGACGGTGATCTTGGATCCAACGAGATTCTTCTCTCCAACGAGAAGTACGGAGCCATTGTTGATGGAGCCGGTGTGATCTACGACCCGAACGGTCTGAACCACGAGGAGCTCCTCCGCCTGGCTAAGAAGCGCGCGATGATCTCACAGTTTGACATGACCAAGCTGTCCCCCGAGGGCTACCGCGTCCTGGTCGACGAGAAGAACGTCAAGCTCCCCAGCGGCGAGGTCGTCCAGAACGGCATGATCTTCCGTAACACATACCACCTGCGCTCACAGGAGAAGTTCGACGTGTTCGTGCCCTGCGGTGGCCGCCCCGAGTCCATTGACCTTGCATCCGTCGGCAAGCTCATCAGGGACAACAAGTCCATCATCCCCTTCATCGTCGAAGGTGCCAACCTGTTCATCACCCAGGACGCCAAGCTGCGCCTCGAGAAGGCCGGCTGCATTCTGTACAAGGATGCCTCCGCCAACAAGGGCGGTGTGACATCTTCCTCCCTGGAAGTCCTCGCCTCGCTGTCTTTCAACGACGAGGAGTTCGTCGAGAACATGTGCGTCCGCGAGGATGGCACCGTTCCCGACTTCTACAAGGAATACGTCCGTGACGTGCAGGATGTCATCCAGTCGAACGCCGCTCTCGAGTTCGAGGCCATCTGGCGCGAACACGAGCAGACTGGTGTGCTTCGCAGTGTACTCAGTGACCGTCTCAGCTTGGCCATCACCAAGCTTGATGAGGAACTTCAGATGACTGAGCTCTGGGACAATGTTGCGCTCCGTCGCTCTGTTCTTGGCGACGCTCTGCCCCGTCGTCTGTTGGCGAAGATCGGTCTGGAAACCATTTTGGAACGTGTATGTCTCCCCTCTTTCTTTTTCTATCTTGTTTTTGAATCCCCGCTAATCAATCCTAGGTCCCTGAGAACTACCTCCGTGCCATCTTCGGCAGCTACCTGGCTAGCCGCTTCGTGTACGAGTACGGCAACCAGCCCAGCCAGTTCTCCTTCTTCGACTTCATGACCAAGCGCATGGCTAAGGTTCAGTTGTAAGGGTTTGGAATTAGATATTCCTGATGCGAAAGTGCTGGTTTTGACACTACTTTGACATTATTTTTGATTTTCCTTATTGACGAGAAAGACTTCCCGGAGTCAACGAAATACTTAATATGGAACAAAAGATTTGTTCCCCTGACGAATGTATGGTTTAAAAAGTTTGGCGAGCGAGAGAAGAGAAGGCCGTTTGGGCAAGATGATCCTTTAGAATCAAAAATTCTTACCCATTGGAAACAGACAGCCTAGTCCTACACAACTCTATACAAATTCCATCATGTTACAGTTACACCAATCAACTCCCTTGAACGATGCTTACTTCCATCTGTTTTGAGATGACACAGACTCAGCCATAATCAACACAATATTCACTGCCTACACGGGATGTTAGTACATCCTATCGCTCACCGTAATTGAAAACCAAAAGGAAAGCTCACCAGTAACAAATCAACACCTTCAGACACCTCAACCTCCCATCTCGACCTCAATTTCATTTTGGATTTACTGTAGTCCATCGAATTGTGTCGCGTGATATGCATGATCTTCTGGTTACCCATCATCACACCCGTACCCGAGGCAACTTGGTGCATCAGTTTTAACTCCACCTTTGAGCCGGGAGCTGCATTGGCTTCTGCATCAGCAGGACTGGAACTGGAACTGGTACTGGCGTTTCGTGATGCAGACGCAGACGCAGATGCAGATGCAGACACAGGAAACAATACAGCAGGCGCCGGCTCTTGCGGCGGCTCGAGTGCATCGAGCAGATCTCGTAGGGGATTAGGCGAATCTCGACGGACAGAGTCGTAGGAGGGGAGAAGAGATGGAGAGTGTGGATATTGCGTATGCCTCCGGGTTGCTGCTATTGGACTCCCAGAATGTGAATTGGGAAGTAGTGGATGTAGCGGATGTACTTTCTCGTCCCTCTGCACCACCCCCCGCATCCCCCTCGCAACGAGTACTCCCACCTCCCTCAGTGTCCTCACCTGCAACCGCAGAAACAGCACTGTAGGGCGGCGGCTCGTCAGAACCAGACACACCAGCCACATCAGCTCCCCCTCCCCTCCCCCTCCCCCTCCCCCTCCTACAACCCCAGACCCCTCCCTAACCGCAAGCGCATTCACAAACCGCACTTCAAGCCTAAACCCTCCACCCCCAACCCCGATCCCAACCCCAACCCCAGCCCTCGACCCAGGTCCATTGGCAGTCCACGGCACCGAAGCAACTAATAAATCCTGATTCTGATCAGGAGATCTGGCAGTCCATTTCCGCGCTAACCAAGCCCGTCGCAACACGAGAACAGGCACGCCCTCCGTGTCACAGATCACGCGACTTGTGTTCGGCCATGATTTCCCGTACACGTTGTAGAGGAGACAGGTGCGGTCTGGGCTGTCTGGGGGTTCGTGTGCGCGGATGCGGTGGACTGTGAAGGTGGGAGAGGAGGGTTTGGTTTCTTGGGTCGGTGTTATTGTTAGGGTTGTTGCGGTGTTGGTTAGGATGTCTGCCGGTGGGGAGAGGAGGTGGTGGGGGTTGAGGGCTATTGGTGTTGTTGGGGTTGTGAGGGGGGTTGGATTTTGATTTTGATTTGGAGGTGGACATGGGGGTGATTTTATGTAGAGGTTGGTTGTATACTGTAGATTTGTGTAGATTGTAGAGATTGTGTATAACAGTAGAGATAGAGGAAGTGTTGGAGAGACATGATGATGTAGATGTGGGGTCGGGAGTGTCGGATATGTTGAGATGAACAGCACTGAGATCACCAATTAGCAGTGCGATACATATAAATCGTACAATACCTAGGGACTGTTACAGGACATTCCGTCTTATAATGACCTACGTAGTATATAAATAGTAAGATTGAAGCAACTCTATCGCGTCTAAGGTTCCCAACGGACATAACGGATATAGCACATTCACTGACTTACCGAGGTCCCTTTGATCAGCTTAAATTACAGTCGATCTCTTGGCGATCTACATCTTTAAAGTATGTTGTAGTTACGCAATTCTGGACCTCATGTATGGTATCGTATATCACATGCCGCCCCTCCTTGCTTATTGTCCTGCCATACTGTATAGTTCTTTTCCAACCCAGACTCGCTAGTTACTAAACTGGATTCACGACATGCCTCTCAACCCTATCTATGATACTAATTTAGTGGACAATCTCTCACATGTCATTCATGCAGCTTTTCAAAACCATCAGGTATATCTCCCCCTCAATCCAAGCCTTGGCAGTATCCGCAAAAAGCTTCGGATTTTGCCGATTCCACGGATGTCGCATCTCCGGATGGAAGTAAGCAATCGTCTCAGGATTACCCTCGCGACCCGTCTTCATTAACCTCAGACCAACCTCCTTGCTATCACCACTGGGTACAAGACCACCCTTTGCAGCAACGACAATCAAAGTCCTAGCAGCCCAAGGCGACGGCCATTGCAATTCAGGCGAAGGAGTAGCAATTTGCTGACAAAGCTTGAGCGTGGTTGCGTTTGTGTTATGAGGAATATCGGTGCCGTCCATAGCCCATCGAATCACCGACCTCGGTATCAGGTTTTCCACATGCTGCATCGCCCACACCGCACGGGGAATGTAAGGCGTGAAGACGGTACGCGGGATTGAGAGGAATCCAGATACAAATACTGATTGCACTAGCTCGGGATGGGTACATGCGAGCTGGATGGCTACTCGAGCGCCTAGACTGTGTCCTATAACGTGTGCGTGCGAGTCAATCGCCTTGTCGTGAATAAGTCGTGCTAGTAAATCTGCGGCAGACTGGACTGAGAATTCTTGTTGGGATGATTGGCCGTGGCCTGGCAGGTCGGGGGCCAAAACGTGATATTTGCTTGAGAGATGGGGGACGACGAGGTCCCACCAACTGCCAGTCACGAAAGCGCCGTGGATAAGAACGATGGAAGCGGACCCAGTGTCGTTCCAACTTAGATAAGAGACTGGATTTTCAGTCGCCATTTCTTGCAAAGGGCTGGGGGCGCCTATAAATTGGTGGAGGTGGGACAAAGATGCCAGGCGTGGATAAGCCAGGTCCTATATAACCTTGGGAGTTATATGACAAAGCCTATTGCAATTAATTCAACAGAACCGTATTATGCAATACAGCTAGGCTAGGCTGTAAAAGATAGAAGAGTAGGATTATTCTAGACTAGATGTCTAGGAGATACAATTAATGTACTCCAAGGTACGTCGATATATGGGGGCCGAAAAGAATCCCCTGATACGGATTAGCGCAACTCAAGGGCCCTACTAGGAGAATAGAGGTAACCATAGTTATAGTTAACTAACTAATTCAATAACTACATGAATAGTTAGTTATAGCATGTTTTATTTGGTTAGAGTCTCTTAGCATCTCTAGGTCTATTTAGAATCCCCCATCTTAATTCTTTAGGTGGAACCATGGTCCATATGCTAATAATAGCCCTGGAGAGGCGCAGTCTTCACTCTAGACTAAGGAAAAATTGTGCTTTTTATACGGGATATTTTTTACAATTTTTAAGAAACCTATGCAAGTAATTAATATATAGCTGTGCTAATATGTTAATAGCAAATTCGACGTAGAGAGCACAAGAAAAGGAAGATAGTGTGGGTTAGCGGCTGAGTGAGAAGCTTGTTTTTTATTTTATTTTATTTTTATTCTGATGTGAGATATCAGATGTCACTGGGGTAGTTCCTTGAAGATGTATGTTATCTTCCTAATTGGGTCAGGCCAGGAACAAATCCTATCATGCCCGTGTTGATGCCATAACTTCAATGCATAAAAATTGCATTACGTGGAACCTTCAAATTAGACCAGGTTCTCCTCATTTCAGACAAAAGAAACCCACTTCCTCCGATTTCCTTTTCTCTCTTCTCTTTATATAATGTCCGACCATTTGTGGGGCCTTCTGTTACTACCTAGGTAGACCGTTGTCATACACTTTGGCTCCGCTGAAAGAGGTCCTACTCCTCTGATCCTATCTACCATATATCCGAAAGAACAAAAGTCACTGCACTTCCGCCCACTTCCGAAAGAGTTGAAATTGGCCGGCTATGTCAGAGGCGCAGGAAAAGTTTCTGCCGATCCGTCATCCTTCTGCGGAGATAGCCGAGAGGGACCGAGCTGAAGACAAGGATCACAATGCCGATACCAACCCAGAAATCCTTCACTCAGATGAAACCAGCCTGAAGCCTAGTATCTCGACTTCCCAAAGATGGCGGACAGCAAGCCAGCGGGTTCAAAATCGGGCTGCCACGATAGCCGAGAAGTTCGGCCGACCTCATGAAAGAGAGGCTGACGGCTTGGATTCGCCGATGTTACCGGAGTACTACGGAGCAATAGACGATATCCAAGGATTCGAGGCCCGCCAGGCAGCCGATGAAGAAGCCCAACTCCCAGGAACAGACTATGATTCGCAAGCTCGGCTCTTGGTGGAACGAATGGGGTCACAGTTCGAAGCACGGCCTCCACGCATCGAAGAACCGCGTTCCGGTTCGACAACCCCAGGAACTCCAGATGGGACAGCAACACCCGGCGGTCCACCCGGAGGACTTCTGTCACAATTGCTTCGTGTATACGCCAACAACCTCCACACTACAAGCCGGATGAGTGTTGTCTCTACGACTTCGGAAACAGACCTGGACACAGAAAGCATTCCACCATCCGGCACAGTGACACCGGGTGGAAAGAAGGATAAACTGAAATGGTACAACGGCAGCCATCCCAGCAAACCAACCCACAGCTATACTTCCTCCCTCATCAATGCATCCATGGATTTGGGTCGGGTTGGGGTCCCCGGAGCCACGGGTCCCCCACCCGTAAATCCCAAAGAACGAAAGAAGCAAAAGCGCAAAAGCAAGAAAAACATCAAGCTCACCGTCCACATTGCCGCAATCCTCGCCCGTCAACAGTACATCATGCAGCTATGTCGCGCTCTAATGAAATATGGCGCCCCAACCCACCGTCTTGAAGAGTACATGATGATGACCTCCAACGTACTGGACATCAGAGCCCAGTTCATGTATATCCCAGGATGCATGTTCATGTCCTTCGACGACCCGCTAACCCGCACTGCGGAGGTAAAGATCATCCGCGTAGTGCAGGGTCTAGATCTCTCCCGTCTCGCAGAGACACACAACATCCTCAAGAATGTCGTCCACGACGTCATCGGCGTCGAACAAGCAACCCACGACCTCGATGAGATCATGCAACGCAAACCACGCTACAACCGCTGGCTCCTCATCTTCTTAACTGGCTGCGCCAGCGTCGCCGTCGGCCCATATGCCTTCAGCGCCCGCCCTATCGACCTACCCATAATCTTCGTACTAGGCTGTCTAGTAGGCTTCATGCAGTACGTTGTCGCGCCAAACTCAGCAACCTACTCCAACGTACTAGAAGTCATTGCAGCGGTCCTCACCTCCTTCATCGCGCGGGCGTTCGGCAGCATCCAACACAACGGCGAGCGCGTCTTCTGCTTCTCAGCCATGGCACAGTCCTCTATCGCAATGATCCTACCAGGCTTTGCCGTGCTGAGTAGTAGTCTCGAGCTACAGTCGCACCAGATGAACGCGGGCTCGATCCGTCTCGTCTTCACGATTATCTACTCGCTTTTCCTCGGATACGGCGTTACCGTCGGCACGACAATCTACGGGTTGATGGACCGCAACGCAACGAAGGAGACGACTTGTTCCGATCTACCGGAGGTCTGGGGCAATGAATATATCCAGCATTTTCCTTTTGTAGCGCTGTTTTGTCTCTTCGCTGCGCTGATTAATCAGTCCAAGCCGAAACAGTTGCCGGTTACGATCTTCATGGGTGTTTGTGGCTATGTCACGAATTACTTTAGCACGAAGAAGCTCGGCTCGAATCAGGTCGCTAATACGGTTGGCGCGTTTACCATTGGCCTTCTGGCTAATCTGTATAGTCGCTTATGGCATGGTCATGCGGCTGCTGCTATTATTCCGGGTATCTTTACCCTCGTTCCGTCGGGTCTTGCGTCTAGTGGGTCGATTATTTCTGGATTGGAGTATGCTGAGGCTGTTTCATCTGGAAATGTCTCTAGTACTACTACTAGTGTGACTTCTAATACCTCGCTTACCTCGTTGGGATATGGTATGATCCAGACAGCTATTGGTATTTCGGTTGGGCTGTTTATCTCCGCTTTGATAGTTTACCCGCATGGGAAGAAAAGGAGTGGGATTTTCAGTTTGTAGATTCGTGTGTGTATATGTATCTTTTTGATCTAGCGATATATTTGGTGTGTTTTATACTGTATCATTCATTAGCGTGTTGATATCATGAGCGGAGAAAGCGTTCTATTTAGACCAAGACAACATACTACAACAAATCTCAACATACACTATCAATAACAATATCCAATATCCAAAATCAAAATCAAAATCAAAATTACAAGGTCAAAATAGCCCCCAAAAAGCCAATCCAAGCCGGTAAATCCGCAACGACCATCCGAACCCGATGAACCCCCACCCAACGCGCCATATCAACAGACGCACCAACCCCACTCTCCCCCATATCCTCCTTAACACCAACATCATCCACAATCCTCTTAACGGGGCCGACGACAAACGGCACGAAAACCAAATGTCCAATCGCACCCGCCAGCCCGATCCAGTAAAATGCCGTTGTCTGCAGCGGCTTGCGTGGGTAATAGTGATTCAAGAACAGCGTGCCAGCGGCTGAGGTTATCGTGCCCAGATTCAGCGCGAGAACTGTCCATACTGCGCGATTGAAGACGTGGGAGTACCATTTTGGTAGGATTTTGTCCGAAGTGGGTTGTAGAGAGGGGAGGAGGAAGCCGGTGGTTGTTGTTAGTTCTAGTAGGGCGTGCGCCAGAGTTCCCGTGCTTGTTGCTAATGGGAGGGTTTGGAGGAGGAGGTGAGGGTTTAGGATTAGACCTGAGGCCATTTTGGAGGTGATGGGTGGTAGAATTTGGAATTTAGATAGGTGGGTAAGTGAGGGAGGGTGTTTAGAATATTAATACTATGAAGTTGGCCCCCTGCGGGCTAGGGACTTTCGGGGGCTGAATTGGTTAATCTCCGGACTTGGTGGAGGGTTCGTGGAGTATCTAGTCCATTGATGAAAGGGTACCTATGAAATATTGAAGTCTGTTTGTCATTCCTGTTTGTCTGCTGGTCACGCGAATTCTTCTTTCTTAGTCAAACATCCCTTTAACATCCTCCATCCTCCACCTTATACATATATCCACAACACCATTTCTCAACTTCCCATTTTCATCAACCTATACCATCCTGGCATCAAGACCAGACATGAAAAACTATCTTCTTACTTTCTCTTACGCCCTTCCCTCAGCAAGACCATTGACTGAAGGACCCCACAACCCACCAGTCTTCGGGGTTGATTCTTCGACTAGGGGTGACCTTGATGTCTCACCATCCCACTATCCCACCATCCCTTCAAGTGAGGTTACAGCCTACGATAACATACCATTTGAAACCCAAGGATATAGCTAATCTATCCCGCTAGTATGAATGAGTAGAAGTGATCTTGACACCACATTGTTGACAAATTCTACTTCGCAATACCGATGATATATATAGTCCCACCAGGGGAATGTCTCAAGCGAGAGATGTCCGATGCGTGTCGGCGGAAAGCCAAAACTGCTTAGTCTAAGGCAAAATCGGAAGAAGCCCATAACAGTTATCGGAAAAATTCCCTAGGGGACCAAGAAGACCAAAATGAGCACGACTCGCAGACCTCGTACTGTTAAACACAGTACAGTGGGCACACGACTGGGAATTGGCGGTGCGCGAGACACCTGACATCAAAGGGAAACTGGAACACATTCAGCTGGGAACCCCAGTCCTGGTTTGAGACCCGCAAGCATATATTCGCTGGATAATTCCAGGGCAACAAATATCCCGGATTCAAAACTCAGCCTCAAACCCTTTCCCAGTTGACCCGAGGCCTTAGACAAAGATGAGATACACGGCCGGTGCAATACCCGAAGAACTAAACCCGTGGCCAAGAGCTACCTCTTAACAAACGGCAACTACGCCGAACTGTGGAAACCGTGGGATACAGCTGCCAATGATGGTTAACGGAATTCCGTTTCACAACCTCATATCCGGCTATCTTTTCGTAAGACTTGTAAGCTCCTACAATCCAAACAAACTTCGGCGTGAGACTGACAAGCTGATTTTACTAGAGGATTACATCTCTTGATCAGCGATCTCGACTCAAGAGAGAAATGGCTCGGATCTTGTATCTAGCAGCCCAAAGACTGCTTCAAGAACCTCAAATGCCTCCGAGTAGGGCTGAACCGTACCAACAGCAAGGAAATCCACGAGTGAAATTTCGCGGGCGAACTTATGACATGGCGAAACTTCGAACAAGATGTCGTTGCCGCCTTTTTCCTCACGCGTTGGAGCCATCACACATCGATGATTTGCGTGCTGCTAGCCTGGGGCCACGGAACTAGTGGAACAGCCGGAACCAATTCTGGTTCTCACAGACAAAACACGCTTACAACATCGCATTGACTGATGGGATGCGGTCATCAGGCCCCAAAAAAAGACCATTCCGGTTCTTCTAGTGCTCAGCTGTTGTTATAGCATTATATTTATTTACTGGTGGTATTGTGTATTTCTGCTTGTGCTGCCTCAAACTCCCTTTTACTGACGACACCGAAAGAAATGCCCCAAAGACCTGACAACGAGAAATGCGAAATGCGAAGGAACAGACACCATTGTTGTGAAGCCAAGAGGCCTTGTCGAGGCATTATGCAATGTCAAAACGAGAAGAACCCAGACATGAAAGAGTCTGATGAGCAACGAGTCTGGCTCAAATAACTACCCGAGAGACCTGGGACACACCGAAGGAATTCGCTCAACAACAGACTTGGATCTCTCCCGCTTGTCTGACCCAGCAAAGCAGAAATCTCTGAAACCAGCCATTGATGACTGAGTCACCATTCAGACGTGAGTCTTACCCAAGAGTCTTAGACATGAAGCTCAATTGGTATACTGATAAAAAGCCATTTCTAGTATCAACTGTCCTAATGGCTGGGTGCCCGATCTTGCCGCGCGAGGCAGTTGAAAGTAGTCTTTCTTCTTCTGCCCTCTTAGGACCAAATCTTTGGCATTGGCCCTCTATATCAATGGCTAAACTTCGAAGGAAATGTGAAGGCTAGCATATCCGCACTATGGTCCCCGATCGTTATTGAGCATAACCTTCGATCCCGCAATATCAAACAGGAAGAGGTATATGTCGCCGACGAAACAGGCCTTTAGGGACGACTCGAGCAATCCAAGCTTTTCGAGGGGTCTTTAGGGTCGAAAACGTGGATATTCGGTTTGATGACTTCAAGTCAGCTGGGGCTGGCCACAGAGATGTTGGACCAGCTGGTGCTGGTGCGAGAGCTATGGATTCGCGTGGGTTTTGACGAGCTGAACCGCTATCACTCAGCAGCACAAGGACTGGAACAAAAATGATACGAATTAGTCCTTCTGAGGCTCGCTGCATTCTTCCGGTGATGATCATGGTCTTTTTCACCCTTGCCGGAACCAATCCGGCTCTGGTGCGATGGAGCGGGCGCTGTTGCGGCGTTTACGGACATCGAAGAGTTTCGTGCGGATTTGAACTTCGACCTACAGAGCCCGAAGAAAGAAGATGTCGTGGTATAAGGAATCTTCCAGTTATCCCTTCAAGGAAAGAAATGTATGGGTTCGTGTTGCTCACAAAGGGTTGGAAGCACATACCAAGGACAGCGCCTTGGGAGTTACAACGGCGAACTCATCTTATACCACGGTAGGTATTCGACTGATCCTCCGCAATTTCAACCTACGATGAAATCTATGCTGCCGTGATCCTCCCGCTGCATGATGTCTTGCAATATACGGGCCATGGCAAAATCAATACGACCAATATGCCTAAATGGGTTGACCAGGGTAAGCGTACCTGCTATCTATATTACCCAAAGCTGGCAGAACGCATAGATCAGTCAACTAGCTCATGCCAGATGAACAGCCATGCATCCCGAATATGGAACACGAAGCGGACATTGGAGGGCCGAACTACCTGGTACAATTCGGGTAACCCACCCATCTTGCTTACCTTCTAACTTTGCCTTCATACCAAGACCGAAATCACGTACTCTTTAAGCGCAAACATAAATCGCTAGTACTTCCATACTATTACCATCAATATTGGTATCATTTGAAATCCTATCAAGATGCCATCCCCTGAACAGGTTTGCTATACGATTCTGATTGTGTCAAAGCGTGATAGAAACTAAGATGAATCTTCTTCAACCTAGGCAGCTTCATTAAATGAACTCCCTCAGCGATGTGACTTCGAATGAGCCGAAAATCTCGAAGACGCTTCGGTCAAGGCTATTTTACCTATTACCGCAATGAATCCTTTGCTTGCTCCTTGCTCAAGACAGACTAGTACAACAAATAGTTTTCAACTCACAGTTAATTGCAAACTTCCAAATTGAAGGGTAGTTAATCTTGTGGCTCTAGTTTGAAGACTGTTCAGAAGTTGATGTCCTGGAGAACATGTATATATATTGTACAACATACTAGGGAATATAGTGTCGGCCGCGCTCTTGTTCCCAAGTAATATCAACATCCACCGTCTTAGCGATTCCATCCCGCCCTGGCTCCACCCCATCGTCACTTTCATTAGCATTGATAGAAGTCCTAGTAGTCCCCATCTCAATTTCCTCGCCACGTGCACCCGAGAAGAAATTCTGCCTACTCCCAGAGGCCTCGTGATTCGTGTGTACGCGATTCGTCGTGCGTTGTTGGCTTGCTGTTCTCTTCCTATACGATGAGGTGAAAGGCAAAGAGTTGGACTTGTCGCTTGCGAACAACTGGCGCACGGAAGAAACCACTAGCGACCGAAGGCAAGGGACAGAGGCGGAGATAATAACGAGGTAGCATTCGATCATAGCCCAGCAGGTAAGTTGAATTGCACTGGCTGCACTAACCCAGGTTAAGATTTGTTTAAGATATACAGTCTTCATTATAGCACCGACTGTTGCGCTATATAGGCAAAGACACCCTCGTTAGTAATTTAGGGTAGGTAAGGGAGGAGGTACATACACAAGACCCAAACTGGTGAGTATCATAAGGCTGAACTTGATGATCGGCTTTAACTTAAGATCCCAGAAGATGTAACACGGAAAGACTGCTAGCATCAGATCCGCGGAGGAGTTGCAGACTATAATTTGATATTATTAGTTAGAAATCCAAGTTTTTGCTTTTAGTAGTGAATGAACATACCGCAGAGAAAGTAACCAAAGTAAAGCTGGATAGTGTCTTCCATACAGTCCGTAGCGTACTCGGTATTCCAAACCCCACGGATATCGCGGCATTGAGTTAAGACGAGAACAATCATCACAATATTTGCCGCTATTTGTACCGCGAGTAGTACCCATAGAGTGATCTTAAAGGCTTTCCTTATTGAAAGAACTGGCAGAAGGTAGAGGATAAATGCAACCCGGCCTAAGCAGGTACTTGTGATGCTGCAGATCTCCATTATTACATTAAACTTGAAGACAGTAGGCTCATCGACCCCGGGACGACCAGATGCAAATCCGTGGTCAATAATTGAAATTGTGAAGAGTATCGATGCGGCGAGGGCGAAACACTACAATAAACATATATCATAAGTTAGAATAGATAGAACTTATATCATCATTCCCCCTCCCCCCGTTTATTGGCGTAAACTTACCAGAGCTGCAACCATTATAGCATCGTCTGTTCCGAGATGACGAAGCCTGACTTTTGCAAATACCCGGAGCACCACCACGACGATTGAAATGGCCCCAAGAGCCCATGTGCCCTCTAAGACTGACATCCGACTACTAGCAGGAGCAGCCATCATGAGAGGTGTCATAAATCGGTGACCATTACATCCCCCCTAAAAGCAAAGGGATCTGATAAAGTCGACAGGGTATATATAGAAAAGCAGGAAAGATTCAACGAAGATCTGGGTTACAAACTCATTATGAACTTTTCACAGTGTCGATCGTAAAATCAATTAACGAGGCTCCTAACAATCTGGACCAGACACACTAGCCTTCTCCTTAAAGCGTTGAAGGGGCATTTCATTTTATTCCCTGATTCACGAATGGAATTGCGGCGGAGCATATACTTTAACTATCGGGCCCGCCCTTTTACGTATCTGAGACATGCCCCCCGGTTTGAGCTTCGAACGGGCCATTAATATCTCACAAGGCATCAATATGACTAAGTCATGAATAGAGGATTTCCCCTTAAGTTGTAGATCTCTACGATAAGGATATAACATATGCCGACTCGACCGGTAGTTCTAGGAATCCTTCAGCCCCGGGGTTCAATTCGAAGTAGTAAGGTAGTACGTAGTAGTCATCCAGTTTTACTTTTTCTCAGAGCAAGTCCCAATGCCTGGAAGCTTCTTGGATTCCCCCTCCTTCCAAGGTTTCTATCAAGCTCTCTTGTGCCAGTATATCAGGGCAGGAGATTTCCGTGTATCCCGCTTCGTATTGACTCGCCCATTTCTGGTCAACTCTAAGTGTGGGGCCGAACTTTATTTTGAGCATATTAGCCATTTTCCCGGTTTCTAGCTCGGGGATACTCCTGGACCTAGTTAAGGGGTGCTCGAAAGTCGATGATGATATAGCCAGACTCGGCGGATATCCCCGAGGTTTTTTCTGAGTATCCCCGAGCTGATAGCCCCCATTTTCCCATATAAGAAATCGGGTTGGACGAATCGGATATCGTGTCATGAGCCCGTATAGATTTTAGCCGCTTATCGATACCTTATCCGAACAAACATGGAAATCAATTCCCCTTAAGGAAGTTAACTATGTATATCTTTAGAACGGTCTAGGGTTTTGAACTGAAAATCTGTGGAAAACAGAATGGAACAGTGTATCAATCAGCCTTGCGAATTCTTGTTCAGCTTTGGTATAAGCGGCGCAGAGCCTAAAATGTCCACGGGTAGAATTAGCACTTAGCTAATTCAACCACTATGCCACCAATTCGCTCTCGAAGCTCTCAAAATTTAATAGAGCAAGAGGGTAGGATATTATTAGCTATTCAGGCTATCAAAAATGAAGAAATCATTATTTATTTCCGAAGCAGCGCGTCGTTTTAAAGTTCCGAAATCAACTCTCCTCCGCCTCGAGCTTGACAAGTCCCATTGGGTCCCGGTCCTGCCTTGGCACTAGGCCGCTACCTCGGTATAGTTTCAGTACTGCCTTGGCATTATCATGCAGATCACATTCCTATTTAGGTAATTTCTTGGGCCTAAACAGGTATGGTCGCCGCACCACAGCGCCAGAGTTTATTTAGTGCGGCGGGACTTGTCAAGGTCGACCTCCACTCGCGCGTTTTCTCGCACTAATAACTATAAACTGACAGGAATTGAAAGAGGAATCTCTTCAAAAATAGATCCTCTCGATAGATTCTCTTAGATCAGCCCCCCGCCCTTCTACCGGACTAGAAATGACGAGTCTTTTGCTTGAAAAGCGCGGAACTAGCCTTATCTCTTTCGGCGGAAACTAGGTAACGAACTATCTGAAACGACACCCTCTCATATCCTCCCGGTTTTTAAAACGATATAACTACAAGCATACGCAATGTGAGGATCCAAAAATTATTACGGGGTGGTTTGATCTTGTTGACAGAAAGTTGGTGTACGAGCAATGTATGGTATAGATGACCAATGTTGACCACTAAAAAATTCACAAAACCTGCTAGTTAACGTATTCCACCACAGAGTGGCCACCCCAAAGGACCATAATAAAAGCGATAGTATAGGCTTGGAGTTTCTTTAAATTGATATAAAGTGCTGTGTTAAAAAAGGATGAAATCGAGTCATACAATGGATAATAAAAGCCAAATTTCTTCAGGCCTATCGAATCCTAACTCTACAATCTACAAATAAAGCACAAGATGAAACATCATAAATCCATCAAATATCTAACAACAGCTTGTCCATATCCACTACCCGACTTAGCTCTGCCTCTGTCTCCTTCCACACCTGAGTCTGCATCTTTCCACCATCATCACTGTCCCCATACCCTGTAAATGGAGCTATCTTACAATCACTTAGATATCTACCGTCTGAGTTGTCGCCAGCCAGTACTGCCGCATGAACAAGGGTCCGAGCACCCACAGGGAGAGAGCGGCCCACAACCCTCTTCATGCCAGAAAGGACCTTGCCAAAGGCTCCCTCAGCCGTGCGATGCAACTCAGACCCATAGCATAAGCCGGGGTTGACAAGATTGAGAATCGCACCCTGGGAAATAGATCTATGGCTGCGGACAAGCTCCAGGAAAAAGAGCTGATAGAGTAACTTCGAGGTGTAGTATCGATCACCCATGTCGAAATTCGTCTTATCATCCAACACCCCGATAAGAGGTATACCCTTTGCAGTGGAGACCTGAGCTTCTTTGAACTTCGCCCAAGCGGCAGTCTCGCTACCAACGATCGAGATCACAGGGCGGGGACGTGTAGGATTGGCCACAACCTGTTTATTGAGATCAGAGAGGATAAGCAGAGTAAGAAGAGCAGTTCCCAGCCAGTTGATCTGGATACTCGACTCGTGCGATGTCGATGGAGTCTGGGTGTAGTTGAAGTTGGCAACACCGGCATTGAGCAGAGCGAAATCGATGTGGATGTCAGATTTCTGAAGACGGTTGACAAAGCTGGTGATGCTGCCATAGTCTGCTAAGTCTAGTTCCCAGACTTCGACCATTGGAGGCTTGGTAGACTTGGGGAGCGAGGCGAGGAGGGATGTGCGCGCTATTTCGCCCTTTGAGAGGTTGCGTACAGCTAGGATGAGATGCGTGAGACCAAGCTTCAGTAGCTGGGCTGAGGCTTGGTATCCCAGACCAGTGTTTGAGCCTGTCACTATGCCGGCCCTGCCTTGGAGGGAAGTACCGGAGGGTGCCTTGGGAGGGCACACTAGGAATTGGCGGTATAGGAAACCGGGGTAAGAATTGTAGAAAGACATCTTGATATTATTGATAAGGATGAGGGTAAATGATTGTAAATATGTATTCCGAGAGGATTAGAGAGCATATAAATAGTTGAATGGCATAACTACCTCCCGAGCTATATAGAAAAACCGACGGTGCCGTTCTCAACTGTGATTGGCTGGTCGGGCTTAAGCTTGATGTCCGAGAAATCGACGGTGCCGTTCTCATCTTTCATCTTCCATCACACACTCAATTTGATTGATTTCTATCATGATCTCGGGATTTATCCCAGAAACAGTCCATCCAGTACAGTTACTACGCTATCTCCCAGTCCATCGCGTTTTAATTTGCTTGCACTGCCACTATGCCATTCAGCCAGGGGCTATCGTCCGCCATCTTAAAGAGATCCACCATTTAAAGCGCTTGCGACGTCGAGCATTTGTTGAATATGCCTCTCAGTTTGAGTTAGCAGACATTGATTCTATAATATTACCAGATGAGACACAGTTTCCGGTAGACTCGCTACCGATCCACGACGGGCTGGCCTGTCGCTTTGAGGGGTGCATTCACCTATGTGTCACTATCCAGCGAATGAAGGCGCACTGGTCATCTGTGCATAATCTTAGCCCTGGAAACGATGGAAACTGGTGCTCAGTGCCACTTCAGACATTTTTTCGGGGAATGCCTTGCGATATTTTACAAACCCGGCTCTCTTGGCGTCGTCGACTGATAGCTCAGAAGAACCGATGAGCGCAAGCGAGAAATCTCCAATTACTGTAAGTGGAAGAAGTAATCCTTTGAAGATACTTGCTTTAACTGTCATTTACAGACTATTACCACCCCGGGTTCAGATGAGGCGCAAGGGTCATCAAGTCTAGATGCCTATGAAAACAACATATCATTGAGCGTTGAAAATATGCACCTCCTCGATCATTATTTGAACCACACATATAAAACAATATCATGTGGCCCAGAAACGGACAGTGTCTTCCGGATTATCGTCCCCCAACTAGCCGCCAAATTCCCATTCCTGCTTCACGGGATGCTAGCCTGTTCGGCACTTCACCTGGCTTCCAGTAAGCCCCCAAACCAAAGGTCATATACCCTACAGGCAATCCAACACCAAGATCAGGCACTTCCAGCATTCCACCTGGCAACTATGCATGTCGACAGCAATAATTGCCAAGCAATACTGGCCTACGCATTCTTCCTAGTCGTTTATGGCCTAAGTTCTGAAAGTGAAGATGAGACACTGTTTCTCGGTAATAACCAACGAACAAGTTCATCTTCGAACTGGATCAGTCTTTTGCGCAATGGTTGCTCTATGCTGTGTAATAACTGGTCTGAGCTAAAACATGGGCCATTGGCTCCTTTCGCAGCACTATGGCGGGATGATATCGGCGTCACTGCTGATCCCAATGATCCCTTACTTGTATCTTTGCTGTCTGTCATTTCAGAGTCAAGTCAAGCTGTCGCTAGTGTCCAGATACCTTTAAATAATGATGTGCATATATACCGCGACGCAGCTGTCAAGTTGGCCGGGGCATTCGAGTTCACTCGACGATTAGGCGCGTCTTTGGGTGTTTGGGATACTCTGAACTCGTGGCTGACGCAGGTTTCGTCCGAGTACTTTAGTTTGTTAGATCAGAATCATCCCGGGGCATTACTACTACTAGCTCATTATGCTATATTGCTGAAGCCACTCCAAGCAGAATGGTTTCTCGATGGTCGGGTTACGAAACTGATGAATGAAATTGGTCGAAGGCTGGAGGGGAATTGTTCACTACACATCTGGAAGTTATTTGTGATTGCTCGCCGGGAGTTTGTTTCTTGATAGTCAATGTTGGGCTCATTGAATACATATCACTGATTATTTAGTACTACTTTAAGTCCCCACAGACCAGTCCTCTGCCATTTACGAGAAGGCGATGCGAAAGTACCACGAAATCACTGGTCGCCGTCAACTTCCTCACAAATATTCGAACTATCAGTAATCTCACGAAAGAAATCGACGAGAAGAACATCGCCTTCCGCGAGTTCCGCGAAAAACGATGCACTATCTTCGATCCTCTCGAAGCGGCCCTGATTCCCGATTGTATTTCCCCCTATTAGTCTCGTCTTTGGGGCCGTGATGCATTTGGTTGGTGCTGCGAAGGGAGTATCTGTCTCGTATGACGCGATTCAAGATTTGATGCAGATGCTGCAGGTAAGATTTAACTACATGCAGATAATAACGTGGGAAAGGAAAGAGCTCCGAAAGAAACTAGGAATTCACCGTCCGACTGGGTGCATACGCGCAAGAAGCCATTTCCGAGTCTCTAAGGGACAAGCTGAGCGATATCATCGTTACCCTGATCGATATTTTTGTCTTGTCATTCAAGACGATTCAACGGGGTTGACTGCTTAAGTACGCCCGGAATATTCTAATAGGTAACGACGATGCCATTCAAACCGCGATGGTCAGACTTGACAAGGTCACCCAGGTCGAGGCCAGGCTAGTTGGGTCTAAGACGTTGCGCCGTGTAGTGGATGGTATATCTGTGACCGTTAATGGGAAGCTCCGATACTTCGTTCAGGCTTGTATTGACCATCATTCAGGCCATGGCTGAGTAGCCAAAAGTGCAGGCTAAGTATGCTGATTGGGTATTTCATCCTAATCTGCCAATCGAGAAAGTTAATAGAGTGGTATTATAAGACTGAAAGCTCTGGTAAGGGGAAGATGGTGAGCTAACTAGCCCTCTAACTAGGGCTGACGTCAGCCGCCATTCGAACCTTGGAACCTTAGGAGGATGGTTCCAAGGTTACAGGTATTACGGGGCACAACAAAACTCCCGAGGTGCTCCTTGGTACTCCATTATCGGCCCGGCTTGGTCTCGCTGGTCCAAACTGCCCTATAACAACGTGGCCATCAAAGAGTCTCACCGGTGGCGTCCCGTCAGCCCTTGGGGTGTTCCTCGTGCCGTCGTTGAAGGTCGAATCGGATATTTTCTCCCCAGTCACCACAGATAATGTGCAGTCAAACGTGAAGATATTACCTAGCAATCCTTAGATGACCACACCGATGGTAAACTCATTCCGCAAGGATCGAGCATCGCTCTCAATGTCTGGGGTATGCATCATGATAGTGAGCGATGGGAGGAACCGGAGCATACCTTTCAGCCGAAACTCTTCGCCAGCCTTGGCGTCGGGCTACGCGGATTCGAACGCCGAGACCACCTGGGTGCGGGGCGGGCCGGCGGATCTGTCCGGGCATCCACTTGGCGGAACGCAACTTGATCATCACCGTTGCCAACCTACTCTAGGCCTTTGAGTTCCTCGAACCCCCCGATAGCCACAATGATATTCCAGCTCGCTCCGGTGCTAGTAGATGGTTTCTTCATTGCCTCAAGGATTCTGGATGTGCCATTCGTGCTCGCTCTCCAGAAAAGCGGGACACCATTATGCAGGAATTTGGCGAGGCGCAAGAGGTTTTCGCTCGAGCTGATTAGCTATATTAGAGGATATGCACTAGAATGTGCTCACCAACCCCTCTCCTCCTCTTTATTGGGCCTTTTCTTTGGCAACAAAAGTCCGGTGAAATATCGACGCTACTATGCTGTATATATGTCAGCTCGGCATCAAGACCCTATTTATATGCAGGTAAGATTACTCGTATCCGTATAATTAATACAGTATGCTTTTTATGTGGATACATTTAATTTAGTCAAAATCCCCGATTGGGGTGGTACCCCGTTTCTCGACATCCATCTTACATCCCACGCTTCAATCAATCGGCTATTTTGCTTTCAACAACGTAGTACTTTAGTCCATAGCCCCTAGGGAGCCCAAAGGAAGCGCCAATATAACCTTGTGCCCCACTTAGTGCTTGTTCCGGTCCCACGTGAACTCATAGTCTAGTTGTGCACGGGTGCATATTAGTCGCACTATATGGCTACTACATCGTACCTGGAATAAGCAATTCGGACCCTTCACCATTTCTATCCCTATACATTAATGCCCATGGTACTATAAGAAATGGCATAATGAACAACCCCGTTTCTGCAGCCCATGCATGTCGCCCAGAATAACAGCGGAACAACGAATGTCACTCTGGTTCCTTCACAGATTGAAGCTAACTTTTGATAAAGTGATCGCCCTAGCACACCTTTGGAGCGTGGTTGGAGTTCACGGTGTCAGGATAGGACGTGGGGGTGAATATGCTGTCAGCATGTCCCTTAGTGCTAGCTGGTACGTAGCATAATAGGACTCACGCTAGGGTTTCTTTTGGTTTAATTTATTGTATTATTTATCTATTTGTTCAGCTTCATTTATTGTTAGATGTTTCTTCCGCTTAGTCAATCTATTTCTTCACCATCAATGCATAATTATATAGGTTTTGCCTGCGACCTGTATTGGCTGGGATTATATATTCTTTATAGTACTGGTGCGTTCCCTACCTCCGGCAATATTGACGTCGAACCCATGCACACAACCGTTGTATATCCTACCAATATATGACCAAGTTTTTTGATTAATACTTGGAAAACCTGGGCAACATCGTTGGTTCATAGAAGTCCCTCATCTATACAACATATGGAGTATCAGGATTGGATTCCCTGTTCACTCCAACCGTGCTAGTTGGAAGTATCTCAGGTCTACTGTCTTATCTGACTGAATTTGGACCAATGACAGAATCACACTCGCTTATTATTCTAATTAACTAAGTGATGTGGCGAATTCGGTCAAGGATTCACAATAGCCCTGGAGCTGACGAGATCACACAGTAGTGGGATTATGGGGGTGTGTACCTATGTAGGTAGGGAAAATTCCGCTCTTCACCTCGTTTCCTATTCCCTTTTTGGTATTTTATGCGTCTCATGCTGTGCAGGGGGTAGCCTGTTACCCCTGTTTTTGCATGTACTTTTGTCCGTTTGCCCAGGCCAAGATATGCAACCTCAGGCGCCAACACTGCAACTCTTTTTCCCTTTGCGCGATCTACCACTCCCCTCCAACCCCTCCCAGTCAAGGTCTTGAGTAGTCCAGAGGGAAATTCCTTTTAAGGTTCCGACCGCCATTTGGAGTCGAATGAAGCTTGTCTGAATGAATGTCTGATTTGTTTTGTCCTCCCACTCCACGCCTCCGTCATGTACTCCACTTTCTCCGCCAACTTCAATTCCACGATCGACGCCTCCCGTCACAGATCAGCCGCGCCTGTTACAGCTCCACGACCAAAGCGCAGCCAGGTCGCTCGGGCCTGCGACTGGTGTCGGCTCAATCGCGTCAGATGCGATGACAAGCAACCATGTCAGAACTGCCTGAATCGAGGAGGCTCTTGCAGCAACACAAAGCCACAGGAGGCCACCTCGCTCCCGGCTGCAAACCGGTAGGAAGCCAACCTACATCTCCATCAGGATCACACCGGAGTGCAAATGGCCCGCTGATCCGTATCGATAGAGAGATGCAACGGTTACGAAATAAAGTCAAAGACCTTCAGGATCAGATCGCGAAACTCAAAGATGGAGCGCAAATTCAAGCACAGACGAGTTTCGCGACACCACCTGTGTCGGATGCTGCCCACACCTCGTTCGATTTTGCAGAGCTCACCAATACCACAGAAGGATGGCAAGGCCTCCAGCAGACAGGGCAGATTTACTATGGGCCCCTGTCGTCCTCATATTTTGTCTCACGAATCAGTCGCTATCTCTCCCAAGCACTCGACCAGCCAATAGAAGATTCAAAACTAGAAGCATGCATCGCACGCTTTCATTATATTGCCCCAACCCATCATCCGTCTCGATGGGACACAAGCTCGGCTAGCCAGGCGGATCAGCTTCCAGATGGAACCGAGGAGGCCGAGGACCTGACCCGGTCACAAGAGGAACACTTTCTCACTCTGCTCTGGCAGTCCTTTCATTGTGTATATCCCATCCTCGATGAACGCGAGTTTCAGCAATATTATGACTCATTATGGTCAAGTTCAACGGATGGAATGTCTTCCCGGAAGTCATCAGCCTTAGTCGATGTGCTGTTGGCAGTCTGTATGCAGTACAGCAGCACATTCTTCGTCAGCGATGACAACCAGCAGGGAGATTCGGACGCTGGATGGCAGGCCAAGCACGCGAATCTAGTCAGTCTAACTTACTACCAGAGGGCCCAGAGGCTGCTGCAGAGTGAGCTCGAAAATCCAACCACCATGGTCGTGCAGAGCCACATCTATTCGATTGTGTACTTGTACAACACCTCCCTTTTGAATACGGCGCATATTAACCTGGGAGCCACCCTGCGAATCGCCCACGCGCTGCGGCTGCATATCCGCCCGCTGGACGGGGCCTCCCCCGAACACCAGGAGTTGCAGCGCCGAATTTGGTGGACGCTCTATCGGATTGACAGCCAGCTCTCAATGACCTTGGGTCGGCCGCCACTCATTCAGATGTCGCATGTGAGCTGCGGGCTACCCGGAGATGATCGCGAGCATGCCGAGCTATCTGGCACAGTTCTTCTCACGAATCATGAGGATATCAGCTGGCTTAGCTTCCATGTCCAGTGCACGAAGCTCATATTTCTCGTCCAGGGTGTGCAGACAGCATTGCACCGGAAATGCTCCCAGTTGCTGAACGGGGATAAAGTTAAGGATCTATATGATGACCCGCGCCTCCTAGAGGCTTTGGCCGAGTCTCTCGGACAGGAGATGACGGCCATTCATAACTGGGTTCAAAATGTGCCACAGTCACTATGTAATCCTCGCAAGGGGGCGGGGAGCCATTCTCCACCAATCGGGATGCGCTGAATCTGTCTCCGTATAGCCCGCTCTGGATGCAGCGCCAATGCCTCCTTCTGGAGCTCCAGTACCACCATCTTGTCATATCGACGCTGCGGCCCTTTATCCGATTCCCCCTGTGAGCTCCTCAGTGACCCCACTGACTGACGGTTACAATATATCCTGTCTGAATCATGCCATGGCGATCACCAGTATCCTAAACCAAGTGCTCTCCGAGACAGATCTGCTGCGCGGCTGGTCACCCATCTTCCAGTACCAGTGGGATGCCATCCTGTGTACCCTGGGATTTGTTCTCGCCAACCCAGTCTGCCCACCGGCCCCTTCTGCCCGCAAGTCGCTGCAGACGGCGATTCGCACGCTGGATCTAGTGAGTGATCACTTCGTGGCAGCCAAAAATGCGACGGAGGTCGTGCGCGAAGTCAGTTGCCAGGCCGATCGACTCATCAAAAAGGTCCAACAAGGTCTCACCCGGAGGCGTGTCAGCCAGGCCGTGTCTACCAGGGCCCAGAATCCTAGGCCGCCGTCAAACCAAACCACACCTCTCACCCCCGGCCAACCTGAGTTCCGGTCCAACCCACTCAAGCGGGAGCTGCCACCGACCACCCCGGAGGTATCACACCACCAGCGAATGCCTAACTTTGAAGCACGCATGCACTTAATGGAGATGATGCCTATTGGATCATTACCAGAACTATCTCCTTCTTTAGGGTCGGCAGAGACTCTGTCGATGCCCTCAGTCACGTCTGCTGACATGGTCATCGGCACTGAAGCCCAATGGCTGCATGCGAGTGCGATGATCATGGATTCCTGGACCACCAACTCATGACTAACCTTTCACTTTTTTATTCACTGTTGACTTTTGCGCTGATTTTACATTTTGTCCGACTTAGAGTACCATCGTGTCTAACTCTGATCCCATACATAGTATCTAACCAGCAGCGGGCCCTGCTAGGTGGAGAGAAACGGAAACATAAACTAGATTGATCCCTGATTTATAGTACATATTTACGTGTATACACGGCCCTCTGCTTTATTAAATTAGAACCTGGAGTATATATTACCGTTACACAATTCAATTTTCTGATACTTCGCTTTAAACGTTTCACCCTTCACTGTAAAAACGTAACTTGAATCATCAGTTTGATAGATATGTACACATGTCAAGGGATATATGCTCAATCCAGAAAGCACGACGTAGTGTCAATATTGCCAGTATCGCGACGGACAATCATACGTAAGTACTTCTGATCAGGACAGTAAATCAAGGCGACGCATCTAGTCTGGAAATTAATCATTCATAAGGTTCAGCAATATGGCTATGAATTTGCTCACCGGCATCGCGATATTTGCGTGTCCATCTGCTTATTGCGTTCAATTTCACCATGGCTCTGGTAATGACCTCTCTATCCGAAATGAGCCGTCATTGATGGGGGGTGGACTATGCTCTGCTGCGGCCCCAACGTCAAAAGCCAATAGCTTGGTGGCGCTTATAGCCCAGGTCTACAATCGGCAATTCGGCTGCTACAGCAGTCCCAGGACTCTTTGACATTTCTAAGGTTTCCGACCTTAAATCTTGGAAACGATTAGAAATTCCCAGTGCCGATCCATAGACCCACTTTATTTGATTTTATATATGGGCCCCACCTGGCCATCTCTGCAAATGATTGGATGAGCTCGGGAACTCCCGAGGTCCCCACTAGGTAGGATTCCCAAAGGAGATCGGAGTTGGTTAGGTAGTCAAATGGTAGATTATGCGTTATGCCTGCATTGGCCAGCCACGAATTGGAACCAGTCTGGTCACTTCTGTACGGAGTACGGAGTATTGTCTTCTGTATCCTATGTAGACAATGTGTCACGACTATAGGTTAAGTTATATCGATTTCTTAATTATTGTGAAATATTGTCATCTTGTAACGTAAATTCAGCTTTGAGTCCAGTCCACGGGTGTCCCGGTGACGTAGTGAGCTATTGCCACGTCATACTTCTTCCGGGCTGTGCATTCTTTTGCCTAAGAAACCTGGCAGCCTTGAACGTACGTAAGCGGGCTGCCGGCCCTTCGCAACATAAAGGCTCAGGCTACCACGCCGAAACGGTTTGCTTTCTTCGCCCAACATGCAAATATTGAATTTGCCGAATAAGATTGTGGCATTGATAGCTGAATTCCTTGATGACGAGTATTGCATCAACGCACTTCTCCAGACATGTAGAAGGTTTTCCTACTGCTTGATCCTTCCCTCTACAAATTCAACGTACGCTACTCGTAAGCCTGTGCTCTCGAATAGGCCCCGAAAATGGCTACGAAGCAACTACACGATATATACTAGAAGCTGGAGCTTCCCCGAATGCCACTTACTACGAAGAGTGGCTTCCGATGGCGCTCGCTTGTATTCATGGACATGAAGTCGTTGTGCGTTTGTTGCTTGACCATGGAGTTGATCCAAATTCAACTAAAAGCTGGCTTCGAGACCCTTCAATTGAAGTCCAGAGCGACGATGAAGGCTGCCCCTTGATACTAGCGGCTGGTCGTCGCCATGAAAATGTTGTTCGGCTCTTAATTTCTTACGGGGTCTCTCCTGATATCCGTTGTGAGGGTATCCACGGGCTTGATATTTCACCCCTTTCAATAGCAGCAAGACAAGGTCATCTATCGATTGTCAAACTCCTCGTCTCCCTCGGTTGCGATGTTCATATCAAGGGCTGGTCTGGGTCAAGTACTCTCGCCGACGCGGCCTATACAGGCCATTGCGGGGTTGTTCAGTTTTTACTAGAGACATACCCTACTCTAGAGTCTCCTCAAATCGCAAGTGAAGCCCTATTAAGGGCAGCCGAGGAAGGCCACTTGGAGACAGTCGAGTTTCTCCTAGAGTATGGGATGGCCCCGATACCAACTATGGTAGGCCGGCCTCTAGGTCCATTGATTAGGGCTACACAACGTGAACACTATGTAGTAGTTGATCGACTTCAGAGGTCTACACGGTGAGCCTGATGATGATACCCATAGGCAGCTACTCCTAACTAGCGCTGCATGCGGCTGGGAAGACCTAGTTAAGGAGTTGCTTCAGCGAGGCTGCTCGCCCGATTTTCTTCACCCCCAGACTATGGTATGGAGCATTAAAGAAAAGCTCTCGGAACCGATATCTCTTTCTTTCCCAAAACACCCATCGCCTTTAGCGTTGGCAGCCCACCGAGGTCATCATAGGGCTGTCGAGCTTCTACTCAATTCCGAATCATTGCTAAGTAGAAGAGAACCAACCCCGCTCCTTTTAGCAATTGACGGCTCCTACAAGGGGATTGTCAATGCGATTTTAAACCGGGGTGCAAATCCGAATCATCAAACCCAAAACAAGGTGCCAGTGCTTTTCAAAGCTGTTCAAACGCCGGAAATACTTCAATTATTGCTCGATCGTAGAGCAGACCCTAGAATAAATGCAACTTATGGCGTGGATACGGATCATCATAAGTCAATTTTCGCGAGGGCGTTAAGAACTAGAAGTCTCACCGCGGTACATATTCTACACCGGACGGCTTCATTCACACAACCTCCATACGTCGAGGGCTCTTATCCTATGTTGTTGCTTGAGGCGGCCGCTGAAGGCGGAGCATTGTCACTGTAATATCTTCTTGTTAGCAACTATCAAGTTGTGCCAGGGAGTCACGAAGTTGGGAGGGCGCTACGTATTATACTACCTCGGGCAGATACGGCCTCATTGACTCTTCTGTTCGAGAGAGGACTAGTCGGCAACTTGATCACAATCGACGATGAAAGTCTAATAGAGTTGGTAGATTCACCAAGCGGAGGCTTGGGTGCTATGGCTTCTACTCTGGATATGCTTATGGCACATGGAATTAACGTCGAAGGAGAGTCCAGGTCCCCTCTCCATGATAGTATTATTTACAGGAAGGCGACGAATTTATCGCAACTATTATTGGATCGAGGGGCCGACCCTCTCCGAACTCGTGGAAGTTATGGCACCGCTCCTTTGGGCGAGGCAGCGAGGCATGGGAATAGGGATTTAATGCGAATTATGCTGAAAAGTCTGGAACAGCAAAACATTTCACTTGAAGAAATGCAACCGAAATTGGCTGAAGCAGAGATGTGGGCACAGATAGCCAAAGAAGAATGTTTGATAGAAGACGATGTGCGACCACTTTTACGCCGTTTCTACTGGCGAAAGAAGTATCAAGACATGCCAAGATTCTAGGCTGAGAAGGCCTAGAAATCCGAATCTGATTTCGGCGGGCGCTCTGTACGTGGTTGCATCCTGCTTGCTGCCTCGTCGTCGGTTCTAAGATCGTTTCACAGGGAGGAGGAGCACCGATGGCAGATGGAATACCGGCTTTGGGTCCGTCACTGGGGTGTATTTGGCAATGGGGTTTCTTGTCTTCTTGTCCTTTTCGGTCGGGGTAAGCCTCTAGGTGTATGCTTCGCTTCTTTTTGTTTATAAAAGATAATTTAGGTTGAAGGGGATTCTGGATAATGCAAACCTCTGAAATGGGGTCGATTCTAGCTGTACACAAGAGGCTATTGGACGAGTGTTGGGACGAAACTATATTGCTAACCTTGGAATAATCTAATGATTATTCATAAAGCACAGCACGGGCATAGTAGTAAAACGACTCGCTTGCAGACGTATCATCCAGGAAACTATCGATGTATGGTCTATATGTCTGTGAATGCTAAATTGGGACTTTGTAAGCCTCACTTAGGCATGTCCTAAGAGCTTCGTATTCCATCTAACACCCAGACAATCCGAATCTATGGCCGTCCTCCTGGATGTCGCAGTCATTCCTCCTAACCTCTGTGTCAGACATGGATTCTCACTACCAGATGACCATGAAATCCACCCTCCAGATAGAGGGTTCCAGTCTTACGGGTGTACTCGTTCATAATATCAGAGCCTCAAAGAATGCACTTGTTTGGGGATTGTGAAGAGCCCTAGTTTGAGATATCAAATCCCTTCCCTTCAATGGTCACAGCTAACTCTAGAATCGTCCCTCTCGGTATATTCGAGCGAATTCTACACTGAAAAAAGGTCAATGTTTCCCTAAGTGAAATATTAGCTGGGGCATACTCCTTTGTCCGATGAGTAACATTATTATGTACCTTGGCATGAACCCCTCGCCTTCGATCTACCCCACACTCATCTCCATATTCTAAAGAAATCCAAGGGCCAAAGGAATCAACTCGGATAGATCTCATTGACTATGGAACCATTCGTGCTATCGCTCCTAGTATTGTTACCAGTCATCGTGCTCGTGCAATATGCCTTCACCTACGGTCATCGGATTAGCACCATGCCCACCGGTGAGTCTTCGGCTTCAGATTGACTGAGAGTGGATTTACTCATCTGGCGTAGGTCCACCTACTCTACCCTTTATTGGAAACATTCACCAGATCACCAAGAAATACACCCATATCAAGTATGTGCAATGACCGCCCCATTTTCCTTTGAAGCACGCAGGGAATTCTCACTGCCATTATCTTGCGAGGTTCAGATTCACCGAATGGGCCGCCCAGTATGGCGGGTTATATATGCTGAAGATCGGAAATGGCAATATGGCCGTCATCACCGATCGCCGACTAGTCAAAGAAGTCCTCGATCGCAAGAGTGGCATCTACAGCCATCGGCCCCATTCTTTTGTCTCGCACGATCTCATCACCAAGGGCAATCACCTATTGGTCATGCATTATGGCGACCAGTGGCGCACCTTCCGACGACTGGTTCACCAGCATTTCATGGAGACGATGGTGGATAGCCACCAAACCAAAATTGTCAACGCCGAAGCTATACAGCTCGTGCGAGACTACATGATCAGCCCGGAGCACCATATGGCCCATCCCAAGCGGTACAGTAACAGTATCACTAACTCGATCGGTATGTCTCCCATAATGGATGCACTGTAGTAACAATCCCTAAAACCCTATCACAGTATTCGGAATCCGCACGGCCAACCGGAAGGGATCAAACATGCGACGGCTTTACAAACTCATGGAGGAATGGTCGGAAGTCATGGAAACCGGCGCAACACCACCAGTAGACTTATTCCCATGGTTGAAACTGCTGCCACAGTGGTTGTTTAACAACTATATCAACCGGGCCAAGTCCATCGGTGTGCAGATGGAGACCCTCTACGTCCACATCTTGAATAAGGTGATCAAGCGTCGGGAAGAGGGCCGCAACAATGGCACCTTCATGGACAAGGTCTTGGATAGCCAGGAGAAACATAATCTCCCCTGGCACCAACTAGCTTTTATCGGCGGCGTTCTGATGGAAGGCGGTTCGGATACTACCTCCAGTCTAACCCTGGCTATCGTGCAAGCGTTGATCCAGAACCCCGATGTCCAGCGAAAGGCGCATGCTGAGATTGATGCTGTGGTCGGCCACAATCGGTCGCCTGTTTGGGGGACTTTGAGCGACTTCCTTATATCAACATGATTGTCAAGGAAGGTCACCGGTGGAGGCCTATACTTCCACTCTGTTTTCCTCATGCACTAGGAGAAGGCAAGGCCATCTTTTTCTTCTTTTCTTTCACGTTCTTTCTTTCGAATTTGATCATCTTCTAACCTCTGTATCAGACGACTGGGTCGATGGTAAATTCCTCCCCAAAGGCACAACAGTCGTGGTCAACACGTGGGGAATTCACATGGATCCGTCCCAACCCGATGATCCAACCGCTTTCATCCCCGAGCGCTTTGCCAACCATCCTCATTTGGCTCCAGACTATGTGCCGGGGACATGGGAACGTCGCGACCACTACGGCTACGGCGTTGGGCGCCGGATTTGTCCTGGCATCCACCTTGCCGAGCGCAACATGTTCCTAGCCATTGCTAAACTGGTGTGGGCATTCGATTTCCAGCCGGGAGAGGGCTCGGTGGATAGTGATCCGGTGAGTGGGTATCATAATGGCTTCCTTTACTGTGCCAAAGATTATCCTTGTCGACCTGTGGTACGCAACGAGATCATTCGGGCTACGATTGAGAGGGAATATGCCACTGCGACGACGGATGTGTTTTCTATGTTCACTGAGGGATAGTTGATGGCCAGGACAGACGAATTGAAATAATTGGAGCCGCGGTTAGGGAAGAGAACGATCGGGTGTTGTCCTTGCCTTTTTTTGTTGCTCAAGTACTCGATAGTTATCCTCGACCTGGTTTACTATTCCTTTCACGACTGAATTTTACTCTGCTTTGTCTTTCAACATAGCTGATGGAGTGCCTTGGGCACGTGGTTCTTTCTTTATTTAGGTCCCTATATACAGTTTTGATGGATGTGGGGGCTGCATAAAGCAGGGAACAATCGCTGGGTGTTAATTTATCAAATCTCCTTCACTTTCGTCCTTCTTCCTTGATCCCATCTGTAATAGAAATCCGGTCTCAGCCACATGACAACAAAAAGAGAAATGCCGTAAATCGCCCCCATAATCGCCGAACCAATCGCTTCATCCATCACAGTTGTACTAACTAGCAACCAGCATAGGCTCAACATCCAGTAGATGAGACAGATCCAATTCTTTTTCTTGCCTCGGAAAAACAAAGTGAAATTGAGTCCAACGAAGAAATAGAATGGTATACTCATCCCTACAGACATGAAAATCCCCCCGGGAGACCCATGGCTGTAACGATGGAATAGCTGTGGCAACAGCCGTTAGCAATCGGGACACCGAAGCTCTTCAAAGTGATGGTAACTGACCAGACAACAAAAAAAGCAAACAGAAGACGCCACCAGGTTCTTCCACGGCCCAACGCTTGCAGGAACGCTCGAATGAAACTTCCAATGACAAGGGGTACAAGTATTGTGCCAACCATAAGCGGCATGGCAATTTCGAAGAAGTTTACCAAAGACCATGCTTGGTTAACTCCGGAGTCCACGATCTTGGAATTGGAGATGGTGAACTTTTCCGGATTGGTTGTATCAATCAAGGTGGTATTGCGCCAAGATGGTTGAATTTGCGTGAATTGGTCAATATTCATACCCAGAAAGCTCTAGAATCGAATGAATTAGAACAACAGAGTCAAGTGAGCTGCGTCAAGAACTCACAGTCACGAATGCAAGCGGCAAGTACAGTGCGGCGAGAATTCCTAAGATTGTCGTACGACGTATTTGGACAAAATCCAATTGCTCGCGAATGTCTCGACACACACGGGGTATTCTTTGCAATGAGGACACAAGTTCATCATGAAGGTAATCTAGATCATTCATGGACATTTCAAGCTCATTGATCAGACTTGCCTCATCTTCAGTGCGAGGCCCTTGAATCAAGTTAACTTGGTCGAGCAGCACCTGGAGGGTACGTCGATTTTCTCGACTGCAATCTTTTGCGACGTTGTGGCAGTCTTGTAGGTGTCGAAGATATTGCATCTTGCTTCCAGAGGGACGAAGCCGCCCTTCGTAAACCTAAGCAAGTTAGTCCAAGGACGCACAGGCTTCCTTGTTGCGGATGGTAGCGCTCACCATATAATTGATATCGTCGCATGCCTTGGTCAGAAAAGTGACGAGCTCATCGGCGGTCTTAGCACACGCAACTTGAGAGAGCCGCATTATATACGGAAGACCGGGAACATCATGCTGTAAAACCTGGGGGAGAACGTCGCGTCGTAACTCCGTTAGGGTGCTATGAGAGTTCACAACCACAACTGCCCGCCGCATCTGCTCGTATTGTATCGACGTTGAAACAACATCCAAGGTCTTCACTTGGGGATGTCTTCCATATGGCCGAAACACATAAACTGAAAGGTCCGTTGCGTAGTACGGAGCATTAATCCATTTAAATGTATACTTTAATGGCATCTGGACGGAGCCTTCTATTTGCGATATGTTACCTTTGATACCTCGTTAGTACATGAATAGGATGTTGCATGGGCCAGGTACTATACGTTGAGATGGTAAATTTGGTTGCCATGGCGGAAGAGAAAGCTCCTTTGCACATACGCTGTCCATAATTTTATTCACTGTTTCATCACTCAATCCCCATTGGCTTTGAAGAATTCGGATGACCATTTGGGTCGGAACGGAATAAGCTTGTTGAAACCGATCATGACTGACAAGGAAGATTCTGTGAATAAATGAAAAGGCATGGCCAAGATGCGTGGTGTCGGAGGTAACGAGGCAGATTTCCAACCCATTCTCGTTTTTCTCTGCAGAAGAGCGTAACCGATCGAAGCACGTAGACCAAGTATCATATTTCTCAGATACAAGTTCGTCCACATCGGTCGCTTTATACGTGAAGGTCTGGTCAACTAGGCCTAGGTTAGGTCGTCGAGCGATTTTGCGGTAGTTTTTCCGAAGAGATTCGTCGCCGGGCATGGCCTCAAATAATATATCCCAATTGGAAGCGCGTCGGAACTAGGCGTGGTTGGTTATTATCATTATAAAACAGCAGTTAAAGGGTAACAGCTCACAGCAACTCTGGCATTAGCGGCTATTTTTCCAGCCAGTTTTTGATTCTTTCGCTGAAAGAACCAGCTTTGCGTTTGAGTAGACATGTCTTCCAAGTCGATATCTGTGTTCGCACGAGACAACCTAATAGGTTCTGTCATGGTGGGCGAATATTCTATGTCAAGTAACTTCTCCTGTCGCACTTTGGTGAAAAGAGGTCCGTAGAATCTACCAGGCTGATCTGGACATGGGGACAGAATTGAAGGCTGCACTGGTAATCAATATATCCCGCTAGGACCTATGTTGTAGTTAGTTGTATACGCACATTGTTTCGAGGGGGTTAAGTTATGGCGTGTCCATAAAAAAGCACGCTGATCCCAGCCGAACGTAGAACATGCAGTTGAAACAGATCTGCACCCCCTTGAATATCTAAAGATCTATTAATCTACTCTGTACTCTATCATATTTGTCTCCCTCTTTTCGTTTACTTTGCTTTCGTTGTCTAGCATGCGATATCACCAAAGGGCTACAAACATTAATAGGGAAAGAGATGTTCAAACAGCACGGTTTCTCGGCGCCCTTTATGAGAACTATAGAACTATGGGACTATGATACATTGGCTTGCTATTTAAATACAAATCATTACACCGACACTTCATTTGAGATGCCGTCAAACTCCAGCCCTTCCTCTTGATCGGTGCGGTTAATAGTCATCAGATGCTCCCAATGTTCGGGATACTTTTGACTCGCCCATTTCTCCACCTCATCTTTCCAGTATTGGTACGGGATAGCGTTGTAGAACAACCCGATACTAGGATATTTATTAGCGATCAGAACACAGAGAGCGAATGAAGATGTACTCACGTATTGCTTGTAGGAGGAAGCCCAATCTCAGCTTCCATGTTGTTGATAGCCTCAACGGCCAAATCAAACTCGCATTGCGCTGCCAAGGCTTCCATGTACGCAGAATAGAGCGGGCGGTTCGCAGTGATCTCCAGCTTCTTGACCTTACCCATCATCTTGATAGCCTCCTGGATACCATTGTGATGCTTCTCGCAGACCTTGAAGAAAATCGTGATAGTCTTGTGGCAGGGGCCTTCCTCCGACTGAAGAATCTGTCGGAAAATTTCCATGCTCTTTTCTGGCATCTCGCACGCGGCATATGCCATCATTAGACCATTTAGGATTCGTGTGTTGAGATCCACTTCAAGATCCAGTTTCAACATGTTGTGCACGAGCTCCAGGTTGGTCCCATCTGCCGTGCGAGCCAGGCCCTGGAAACAGCGCGCATAAGTGTCTGCCTTGGGGCGTCGACCGGGTTCGTCGGCTTGACGCATATGTCCAAATACCAAGACGGCAAGATCACTGCGCTTCCGGTTGAAGAAGGAGGTCATGATTTTGGTGCGGACTGAGACCCACGTTTCCGGAAATGCGATCTTCAGAAGTTCGTATGTATTCCACACATCTGTATCCGACTGGTTTTTGTCTGTAATGTACTCGGCAAGCGCGTCACGCACTGGCATCTTCTGTTCGTCGCTGTAGCTGCCTAGTCGTGGACGTAGCAACTCAGAAACAGCCTCGAGGTCGTTGCGGTAAAGAAGCATGTGTGTCAATGCGGCAATGGTCGTAGATTCTAGACGCACGTTCTCTTGGAATAGCGGGTCTAGAAGGGAGGATATTTGGTCGAACAAGGCTTCCTTTTGCTCGGATCGACAGAGCATCGCGATGAGCTTGTTTGCAATTGGTAGGTTGTGGCTTGTGAGGGAAGTCGCGTCAACCTTCTCTCCAATGATCTTCAAAGTCTCATCAACATCGCCGGCCTGGATGCGTGACTCCAGTTCTAATATATGAGTTTGGCTATCTGTGGTGAGACCCCACTGGCCTGCCAGCGCTATGAAATCAGAAGCCAACTGGGGGTTCTGCGTCGCATTCGCATACTGAATAAGGTTATTAACGAGGTCAATGTTGATGGAGCCCTTGAGTTGAGAATTCTGCGCAATCCATGCGTGGACCTTTTGCGCAAGAGCAGACGCATTGCTCCCCTTTGCTGCTTCCCAGAGCAAAATTATGCTAACAGTGTCTTCGGTGGGCTCATTAGGGAGAGACTTGAAGATCTCCTCCGCCGCCTCTACCCTCGAATTCAAGAGATAATACTTGATGAGAGCCTCTCTCGCAGCCATGGAGGGTTCTGAGTCATCGGCAATTGGAGAGTCGTAGACAGTTTGGGCCGCTTTCCACTGGCCGTGGTCGACGAGAAAGCTAACGATCTCTCCATGCGAGGCTTGGTCAAATTTGTTGCCGTGGTTCCCCCACTCATCAACAATCTTCCGCACCTGTCGCAGATCGTCCTTCATGGCAAATCCTTTCATAATTGTGAGCCAGGGTGACGGGACGGCCTTGCTCATTTGACCCCAAAACTTCAACAAGGTATGTCTAGCATCCTCTGGATTGCCATTCATAGCCAAGATATTGATATAGAGACCAAGGGCCGGCCGGCTGATCTTCCCCGGACCAAATCCATGATCGAGGTTTAGTTCTTGATATGCGTACCGGGCAAGGTTCATGACAACTTCACGAGCCTGTGGGGCACAACCAGACTCAGAGAGTACATCCAACACTTTTTCGAGGTTCTCAGTCGAGAAAACATTCTGCCAGTCTTCTTCCTCCATCTCGTTCTGCTGGGCCCTTAAATGTTTGAAGGTGACGATCAGCGCGCGGGCTTGGAAATGACTGATGAGCATTGGTGTCTCAAGCCGCATTGTGAAAAAAGTTTGGAATGCCTTTGCAAGAATATCACTGGGAGGAGTTCTGCTTCTATCTTTGAGTGCCCTCATCAAGTCAGCCATTGGTTTCAGGCCCTTTTCAGAGGGCAAAGTAGATTGTGACCGCTCGGGGTCTGAGCTGAAGACAAAGAGGTTGCGTCGTGATGTATAAGGGAGACTCGACATAGCAGGTCGTACACGGGCAGGAGTGATTGTGTGCAATAGGCGGTTTCGATGGCATTGGGAGAACCGAAGTGGTTCATTGTTGATAATTGCCCGGAAGACCCGTCTCGTGAGATGGGACTGCATTATGGATGATGTGAGGTGTGAGCTTATAGCTCAAATTAAGGAAGAGGAATTGGATAAAAATGTGTAGTCCCAAGTTGACTCGCAATCCGCAATAGAATCATGAAAAATGGGGGTTCGCGACGCGGAGAGATCTGGAGGCGGAAGAAGGCTTGGCAAAAAAAGATCTCATCTCCGCGTTGCCTAGTCTCCCTATCACCGTCTTCAACATCTACAACTATTCAGGGACTGTGAAAGGTCAATATGTCTTTGAACCTCTTTTCCTCGTCGTCATTGCTGCGCAATGCCGCGACCACAGCCAATGTTGGCCTGTCGCTCTGTCGCTGGAGCTCAACCGCTGCCATGAGCGCTTTCACTTCCCAGCGCGCCACAAGCTCACAGAGTATGTGATGGACCCGATACACCCGGATGATCTTCTTGCTGTCCCATTCTATGATATGGAACAAATTTATTTGAGTGTGATCAGCAACTAATGTGTTGCGATAGCCTCTCAAGTGGTCCAACGACGCCGTTTACCCAGTCGCCTCAAGTTCCTCGAGGACCAGAAGGCGCAAGGCGAGAGCCGAGCCCTTGAGAGATACCAAACCCGTGACTTCAAGGCTGGAGACGTCTACTCCCCTCATGATCTTAGCCCGGCCGAGATGAAGAAATGGGGAAAGCGCCAGAACCCTCAGACAGATGCTTTCGATGCATTGAACCTCAATCCCATGGATTTGTACAAGGTACGGAGCCCTCGAGCCAATTGAATCATTGCTTTGGTGGAGTATGTATCATGATGAACAGCAACTGACTGTTGGCTCTTTTGTCATTACAGAACTTCTCCGTCATGTCCGAATATATGACCAGCATGGGCCGTATCAAACCCCGATCCATCACCGGTCTCCGACCTGTCAACCAGCGCAAGATTGCTAAGGCACTCCGAAGAGCCATCGGCATGGGTCTTATGCCTAGTGTTCACCGACACCCTGAAATCCTCGCAGCCGAGATGCGGGCACGTATGGAGGGCCCTGGAGGTTTCTAAGCCGAACATACTACTTTGGAGTCGTTTTTTGGGGGATTCTAAACAGATTTTGGGAGATTTCCTTGTACAAGTACAGGCCGGTGCCTGGTGGAAGGGGCACGACTTAGTGTATTATTATTCTTAGCGCTATGCATTGATTTTATTGAGAGCTACAACTTTCAAACTCCTTTGTGCTAGAATATTTGGAGCTACCAGATATATATTGCGTATGTGTTGACCATGATATTTCTCTTTCCTGCATATTCTCCAATGCTTGTTTTATGTAGATACTATGGCGTGGCTGTGTTCCCCGCTATTGTGGCCCGGGTACGTCAGTCAATAAACAGTGGGCTTAACAGACTTCCCTCTGCTTTCTCCCAACTCCTCTGGTTGAGAGTGCTGGTTGAGAGTGCAGACATTAGCAATGTCACTTACGAATGGTGAGAGCCTGACAACCTCATATTATATTCTATTATCCTGACATATTCAAAGAGTCCATTTGGGCTCCTAGCCCCTCCACCACCCGCGGCCAGCCCACCCAGCTCTCTTCTGATTCTAAAGGCGAGCGATTGGCCTATGCAGTATGTAATTCTAAGAATCTCTACAATAGCACTGCCTTTTCTAACACAAGCAATTATAGTCTAACAAATCCATCTTCCTGCGCTCAATCGATGACCCCGCGGTCGCTAGGCAGTACACCGAACACAAGGCCCAGACAACCGTCGCACGCTTCGCCCCCTCCGGTTTCTACGTTGCAAGTGGTGACGCTGCTGGAATAGTGAGAGTATGGGACTGTGTCGGCGAGGGAATCACTAAAGGTGAATACAGCATTGTTAATGGTCGAATCAACGATTTGGCCT